TTTTGTACATTTCTTATATCAGTTGCAGGAGTTCTTATATGCATACAGTTTTGATGCTGCAAATATTTTCTCCCAATTTTCACTGAAATAAATGTTCCCAATTTGAGCTATTTTACTTAATATTTTACAATCCCTAAATTTTAATTTCTCTCCATGTTTGTTTTATGATCCACCTGAGTTGTACTTTTTAGAATCTGAGGCAAGAGTATAATTTCATCATTGTTTTCAAATCTCCCAGTTGGTTTAAAATTGTACTTCTATAATCAACATATATATATATATATATATCTTTAATCATAATATATATTTGCATGTATATAATATATACCTGGATTTATTTCTGAAGTCTCTATTCTCTCTTATTTGTTTTTTCTTGCACAAATACCACTTTTTAAAGTGTTTACAGCTCTATTATTTTGATATAGACATTCCAATAGAGTAGATACTGTTATTTTATTAAAAAAATTGATTTGCTTAGAACTTTTTAAAAAAAACTTTAGATTCCAAAAATATAAACAGTCCATGTGAAATTTTCATACTGCACTAAATTTACAGATTAATTTAGGAAGAGTTTATGTTTCAATATCACATTTTTGTATCTAGAAATATGATCGAAATCTCCATTTGTGTCAATCCTTCATAGCCTTTGAAATTTTAATATAATTGTATAGGTCTTGCGTGATTATATTAGGTTTATTACTGGCAATTTTTTGTTGACCCTCTAAATAAGATCTTTATTCATCACATTTCATTGGACCAGTTGCTACTGAAGTACAGGGAAGCTGCCAATTTCTGGTTATGTTGTATTTAGCCAATTTAATTGTTTTTTAAAACCCTTGTTTTCAGTAACTTTTCAGTTGATATTCCTCTGTTTTCTAGGTAACTATACTTGCTGCATACAATACCAGCTTTTCCCTACCCAGTACATGAAACTATGATTTCTTTTATTCAGTGAAGGACACCCAGATGAATATGAATATTTGCCATGATACAGGACATCCTTTCCTTGTTCCTGACTAGGTTGGAGAGGCTTCTGTTTCCCTGGGAACTCAGATGTTTGCTGTATGTTGCTAATAAATTCCTTCATCCAGTCAAAGCACTTTCATTCTATTGCTAGCTTCCCACAAGCTTTCTTTTTATTAGTTTGTTTCCTTAAGGGAACAACACTGCATTATCAGTGCTTCTTTTGGACTCTCATGAGATCATGATAAGCTGTTGTTAATGTAACGGGCTGCATTAAGAGATTTATCCCTAATAAACTACCTTTGAATCTTCGTATAAATCCTTCTAGGTTAGAGTCTTAATGCATTGCAGGATTCAACTGAGTAATTATTTAGAATTTATATTTCAAACTGAGATGGGCTTACAAGTTTTTTAATGCTGTCTTCCACTGATTTGAAGAATGTGAAGTTTCCCTATTTTCCTTCACCTATAATAATTCTAACAGGGGAATTATTTCTTGAATACAGGTTTGATGGAATTCACTTGTAATATTACATTCTACTAGTATAATAGGAGTAGACTTTTGAATACTTTCTGTTTCCATTGTGGTTATTTGTCTGTTCAGGTTTGAATATCTTTTAAAGTAAATTTTAGTGAATAATATTTTTCTAGAAAGTGATGCACTCATCTGGATTTACAAATTTATTCACATGAAGCTGTAGGTACCCCTTACACAAATATAAATATCCATATTTATAGTCTAACCTTCTCCATTTCTAATGTTACTTTTTAAATGAGTTACCTATTTTATTGATCATTTCAAAGACTATTTTTGTCTTATTGATGAAGTCTACTGTTTATTTTAGTCTTTTCTCTCAAGATCTTACCTCATTCTGTCCTAGTTTGCTTAGTTTTATTTTGATGCTTTGTCTAAATTTTTGTAAAATGCCCAGTTCATTTATTTTTAATTCTGTTGCTAATATACACACTTTTTCACTTTAAGATGGGAACACATGATCCTTCTGCCTCAGAATACTGGGATTATAGGCATATTCCACCATGCCCCAACAGATACATTCAGGAGTAAGTATTATCTTCCTTCAAGTACAGCTTGACAGATATGTTCCATCTTTTTACTCTCCCTTACCATCAGCTTCCCCTCTCCCTCCTCCCTCAGATCCACTTCCCATCACTATAGAATCTGCCTATTTCTTAATATCTTTTATTTTGCTTTTTAAATTATGTACATTTTAGGTTTCTCATATCAGAGAAACCAGGTGATATTTAATGTGTGTGCTTTATTTCACTTAGTATTATGGATTCAAGATCCACTCATTTTCCTACAGATGACTATAATTTATCCTTCTTGATGGCTGAATAGTACTCTATTGTATACATATATCCCACATTTTGTCTATTTACCTGTTGATGAACATATAGGGTGCTTCTATGATTTAGCTTATTTCTAAATAGGTTTCAATTTCCACCTGATTTTTTCTACTAGAAAGTTTTCTCATATTTATTTGACAAGTAAAATCATTTATTTATTTGTTCATTTATTTATCATCACATTTAACAATGTGATGTTTTGAAACATGCATTGTGGAATGGCTAATTGAACTAACGAATGTATTGTCTCACATAATACCCATTTTTTGTGTTGTGGGAACACTAAAGTCTACCTTTGCCATTTTCAAGGCGCAATACGCAGTTATTAGCTGAAGTCACCTAGGGGGAGCCACAAATTCCAAACTGAGTCTGTGGGGTATCCATGCTTGTTCTTGTCCTGCCCCTGAGCCAGACTGGAACAAGGAAACTCGCCGCCCTTTTTTGGTCACAGCTGGAGCCCTAGGGCTGATGACTGCAGGGCAAGAGAAGAGACCATAAACACTGGGGAGACTACAGTTTCCTCACTGCCCCCACCCCGTCTCCTCCTTGTCCTTGCAAGAATGCCTTGTTCTTCCTACGAGCGTACCACAGTCGCCATTACTGTTCCTAGAAATGCCTGCTGCCCTTCGCTCACTGTCCTTGACTCCAAGGTAATGAGAAAATCCAAGGTTCTTTGCTCGGGGCCATCTGTTCCCCGAGAAAAACTGGTCATTCCAGATCCCTGCCTGCACTCCTATTTCATCTCTTGCTCTATTTTTTTTCTACCGTGAATGCTAACGGCAAGCAGGAGATGGGCACCCACTGTAGGGTCCTCAGTAGTCACCTTGTGACAGAGTAGCTCTCTTGGACTTATACCTCTTCTTGAACTGAAATTTTGTACCCTTTCAGTGTTTCAAGTCCATCCTCCTCTGGAGTCCCTGGTAATCACCATGTGAGCCTCTGCTTCCGCACAGAGCACAAGGATGGTTTTAATCTATGAAGGATAGACTGAAACTTCAAGGGGTTAGATTCGTTTTCAGTCCTGCTGCTGTTCATTTTGTTTTGCTGCACCTCGGGAGGCCTTCATTGTGGGTTGCACAGATCTGACACTACCCATGGGCATATCGTCTAAGGAAGTTCCTGATGGTGAAGCTGCCACCAGTGTGAGCAGCTAAACTTAGATAAGCTCACACCTAGCAGAGTTTAAAATCTCCTAAATAATATAGTCTTGAACGTATATGGTTTCAGACTCATGGATTTCCATCTTTGATGCATCATGAAAAATAATGTCTCACAGGCCAATCCCAAACCTTGGAATGGTTCATTTTCTTTCATGACGCCTCCAAATGTGCTTGACGCCACCGTTTGGAGCTGCACCGAGCTGCTCACTAGTGCTCCATGAAAGTGGCTCATCTGGCCAGATCTGTAGAAGCTCTCTTCTCCCTTGATACCAGAACTACAGAGCATGGGGGTCTATTTGCTTGTTTAACATTCATCATGGTGATCGGAGAGATTCTGACCCCGTATTCTGTGACAGCGCCCAGGATTTATCTTCTTAGAGAACTTCACAGAGGACTCTGATCCATGGCAAAGTCAAGAATCACTGTTTTAATACATTTGTTAAGCTAAAATGTTAACAGCAGTACAAAGTTCCATTCCTTAATATTCACAGCTTTCCGAATCTCTCTCCAGAGATTCCAACTTCTTGCCATTAAAGCACATTAAGTATGTGATCATTTTTACTGTGACAAAGGAGGGTGGGATACAGTCTAAGTTCCTGAACATCATGATGGGGAGAACTGGCTCTTAGTCACTGTATAGGACAGCAATTAGTTAAAGAGTCAAGCTTGTGTTAATATTGCTCCTAAGAACACTGACAGCCTGATGTCATCTTCATAGATTTAACACTTCTAAGTGGCAGTTTTTCATTATCCTACACTCAAGTTGCACACTGAAATACTTGTTTTACACAAAATGTCTTAGGGCGTTTATAAAAGTTATGTCAAACTATCCTTAAAAACCAGCTATTATGAACTCTTTATTACTCTATTATTATTAGAATATCTTTTGATGTTAAATGTTTTATTCCTAAAATACAAGTGTTAGACTTTGCACTCTTTCTTTAATACAGCTTTAGTGAAATATCTAATTGACATACCATGAAAGTCACCCTTTGGAACTGTACAGTTCATTGGTTTTAGTATATTTACAGAGTTGTACTACTACCACTCTAAGATAATTTTAGACTATTTTTACTACTCATAAACCATATATCAATTATCCATTCTCCCTGCCCAGGTCACTAGAAACCACTAATTACTTTCTGTCTCTATGGATTTATCTGTTTTAGACATATGAGCACTTTGCTCCTTTTTATGGCCAAATAATATTTCACTGCACAGGGACACCACATTGTTTACTTCATTAATCAGCTGATGGATATCTTGATGTTTCTAGTTCTTAGCTATTAAGAATAATGCTTCTATGGGCATTGTGCATAGTTCCTGGGTGGACATGTTTTCAATGCCTTTGAATACGTACCTAGGAGTGGACTGAAGAGCTCTTTAAGGATTTAGTTAGTAGAGAATGAGAATAAATTCAAACATTTTATTCACAGGTTTGTCAAGTTCCTGAGACTAAAAATATGTAAGTAGACAAAAATGAGTTTCCAAATAACAATAGTCAGAACATAGGTAATACTCTAGAGAAATATTTATTGACCTTGCTTAAGTTTAAGTAAAGTTTAATACTGTTTAATTAGAGAGATATTTAAAAACACTAAGAAAACAATATAATAGATGTTTTGCTCTTTCATAGCATAGGTTTTTAGAGTGAAAACATTGTTTAATAAAGCTGCATCTCAGTTACTGATTTATGATTTCAAAAATATACCTCTTGCACTGTACATATATATATATACACTGAACCACTATTAAAATTCTAAACTATATTTTAAGAATTTAAAGTCATTTAAAATGATACTGCTGAGCCTACAGTAGTTTAATAACAGAAATACAGAGATACATGTTATTTAACTGGAGAACTTTTTCATGTAAGAAACTAGAGTCTTAAACCCTGGCAAACAACTCACTACTTTCATCTGAGCATACAAGAAATAATGTCTTTTGAGAAAATTATGGTTAAAATCATTTTTATATTCTTAATGCAAAGATAGAACAATGAGAGCTAAAATAATAGGTTGGCCTTTAGTTTGCAAAAAAATGTCAAATTCTTTGAGTTTTTCTACCTTTAAACTCAGATTTACAGTAAATTACACATGTGGGACACAAAATAACATTTCCTGTAAGGTGATCATTTTTATAACTTAGCTGAATTTTTGCAGTGCTGATTTAGTAAAAATTTCTCCAAATTTCAGAGTATAAGTAGTAAATGAAACTATAAAGTTCACATGTAGAAAAATTAATAGCCATTATGTATGTAATAGCTGTCACTTGTAAAGCCTCATTTTGGCTGAAGAACTACAATAGCAATCATGCCTCCCCAGCCCTCATGTAATTTTCCTAGATATGCTTGCATAGTACTCTATAAAGACAGAATCTTTGGAAAAAAGAAGAAGACGAAAACCTATGGACTTTACGTTTTATTGCCAATATACAAAGTACATGAAAAGTATTAATTCTTGCTCTTTGACCTCTTTGTCTGCTTCCTATTGCCAGACACCTTAAATGGGAAAGAAAGGGCAAGGTAACAAAATTAATTCTTTTCGCTACACAGAAGGCAGACACTTCAATGTTTTATTTGCAAAGAGTCAATAGCAAAAGTTACAACTATCAAAAGAAAGGAAAGGATCACTGAAGCACCTCCTTAGTTCCTGAATTTTTCCAAAGAGAAAAAGTAAATGTGAATCTAATACAGGAAAAGAGTTACTTTTTTCTTTCCATAAACTTTTTTGCCTCTTTCAAAAGCTCTTCCACATCCTCCTGGTCCTCGTCTTCCTTTCCCGGTTCCCAGTCTGAATCTTCATCTGTCAGCTCATGCCTGTCTTCCTCAGCATCTAGAAAGCTGTCCTGCAGGTCACACTCACTGGGCTGTCCAGCACCGGCCTCTTCCTCTGCAGCGCTTCTCCCTGGCAAACAGAATATTGGGACGCAACACGTCAACTGCCATTCAGCCTCACTTAGAGATGTTCACTGTAAAATGTCTTTGTACATCAAGAAGAATTAATTTTATTGATATATAGTTCAGTACTACAAATTTTTGAAAAGGGCACTAAAATGATCGGTTGTTATTTATGATACTGACTTTTCTTAGCATGAAGTTCTGGGAGTAACATGTAAGAGTCAAAATAATAGTTCCTTAGCAACATCGTAATCACAGTCATGCCACCCCACATTCCGATGTGATAGAAAGTACTCTGTTCCAGTTACTTGCCGCCTCTTCCTGGAATAACACTACACACACACACACACACACACACACACACACACACACACACACATGCCCCATTGACGTGGCAAGGAACATGACCAGAAGTGTGTGCACCACTTCTAAGTAGAAGCTTTGAGTCTCTGTGGTTCTGTTTGACCACTTCTCCTCTGCCACAATGAACAACAGCATGCTCCAGAGACGGGCTGAGCCTTCAACCTGGCTTCTAGGGTGAGAGTACATGTGGGGCCGAGCCATAGGCAGCTCACAGATGCACCAGGAAGGAGAAATACACCTATCTGTTGTTGTAAGACACTGAAATTTGGGAGGTTTCGTTTTCACAGCAAACCCAGCAAAGTCTGTCTGGACATGCCAGGACTGAGATCAAAAGGAAGATATAACTTTAATCCCTTAGGAAAGTTAGTATTATGAATCTAAGGTTTCTTACAGTTCATGTTTCAGTAAGACTTACGGTAATAGCCAGTAGAACTTTATATATATGAAAATATAAATATTAATAATGTTAATATAAATACAAATAATAATATTAGAAAATTTTTCTGTCTCCAAATTCCTTTATCCCTTTCCCTACTCTGTTTTGTGTTCTTTCCACAGGGTGCAGCAAAGCTGGTTGAAAGTTAGGTGGTAAGAAACTCAAGGATGATATGGGACATTTCAGAACCAACTAGGAAGACTTTACCCAGAAACCTCAGTAGCCAAGGACAATCCCTGGTGGACAGCAGGTATATGGGCTAAAAATATTACAGTCTGCTGGGCAACTCAAAAAAGTTCTACCATGCAGACTGCATCAGTGCTCTTTCCAAAGAGGATCTGAGATAGCTTATCTTAGTAATTAAACAACAAAATGCAAAAAAATGAAACTAAGAACATAAAGAACAAAATATATAAATTTCAACCTGAATTTTTAACATAACTATAAACTGAGCATCAAGTTTCTTGATAACTGAGCTGAAAAGGATACATAATATATACTTTACTCTTATAGAATAATACAAGTCTGTCAGTTCCATAAGAGAAATCTTGCAATACACTTATCTGTTTATGTATCTTTACTTCCCAGCAGACATCTCAAGGAAATGTTTTACGTCTAGCTAATTGCAATTTCTCATTTTTTACATATGTTAATTTTTTTTTTTTTTTTGGTACTTGGAATCGAACTCAGGACCTTGTGCTTGCCAGGCAGGTGCTATGCCACTGAGCAACATCCCCAGCCCTCAATTTCTCATTTTTAAAAATGGAAAAATGCATTTAAAAAAAAAAAAAAAAACACTTGGGACTCCACTTGGGACTCCAGGGTAGCTGAAAGTTGGGGAAGTGAGCAAAAAGAGAACACCAACATCTGTTCTTGTCTATTTCCTCTTGGAAGTACCTCATACAAACATTCTGCTGTACATGCACTTGCACAGGACCATCAAGGTATGTGTTCATCATGTCTCAGCAAACTGTTCCCCTTTAGATTTAGACAGTATCTTAAAGAGTTTATGTGCAAAACAGATGTAAACGTGAAACAACTTTAAATTCTCCTCCGGCCTCATTGGCTGCTCCTTCTTGGTCTCCTTTGCTGGACTTTCCTTAATTTAACAATCTCTAAATTTTGGAATGCCTTTGTTTCAGGCTGGGACCTCTTCTCTAACCCAGTCCTTGCTTGACTCCATCCAGTCTAATACCAAAGCCTCCAAACTTATGTCATAAACCTCAACCCACTGCCCTGAATTCCAGACTTATTTACCTGACTGCCCCTGTACTATTTCCACCTGCGTGACTGGCATCTGCAACCTAAACTCTCAGAACAAAACTCCTGCGTTGTCTCACTCAAATCTGATCATTCTTTTATCCGTCTTCAATATGATTCCTCTAACCTTCCAGTCTTCTGGCTGGAGTCATCTTGAACACCCTTTACTAAAAACCCAACTCCAATGTGTCAAGAAACCCTATTGGGCCTATCTTTGTGTGTACTCACTACATCTCACTACATCCACGGTAAGACTGGTTCAGACACTATCATCTCTGTCCTGGATGCAATGACCTCCTAACCAGGTTCCTTGCCTCCACCCTAGCTTTTTCTACATGAAGAACCCAGAAAATCTGCAATAGATTTCTACCTCCTGCTAAAAAAATTCTGAAGTCCTTAATTCAAGGTTTTGGCTTCCAAGCCCTACTTAACTGGCCCACTGCTAGCTTTCCTAACATTATTTCATGCCACTCTCTACTTACTCTCCCTGTTCCAGTTCTATCTACTCTTTGCTGTTCTTCTGGGAAAACCTGCTACTCCCACTCCCTGGCATACTCTACCTCAGACGATCACCTGGCTTGCCCTCCCTCCCTCTGTTTTTTTTGTTTTGTTTTGTTTTGTTTTTTGGGGTTTTTCTCCGGTACTGGGAACCGAACTCACGACCTTGCGCTTGCCAGGCAGGCGCTTTTGCCGCTGAGCTAAATCCCCAGCCCACCCCCCCCTTTTTTTTTTTTTAATGTCAAATCATCAGTGTATCTTTTACCATTATATGGGTGATGGTGCCTCCTTCCCCCACACTCTTGCTGTTCTGTTCTCATACAGACTTCTCCTCTTAGCAATTATCACATGACATCATGTAATTGTTTATATGTATGCTGTCCACATTTGTAACGATTCCACAAGGGCAGGGCTTTGCATCTATTGCACTCGCAGCTCCTACACCAGTGCTTAACATGTGGAAGGCAATTAGTATACATTTGCTGAATATACAAATAGATGAAAAGTGAAACATTTCCAAATTGAACATCTTTTGTTTTACAGAACCCTTCTTATTTAGTCTACACCTTTGATCACCTTTGGTTCTATCACTATAATGAATTACCTAAGATAAGAAACTTTTATTTAAATCTTGCTACATGAAGGGACTTCAAGCCTCAGTGAATACTAGCACTCTAGCAATTTATTGAGCAGATTCTTCTGTTGAGGTAGTAAGGTTTTTAATCAGAAGAACCTCAATTGTTTCCTCAAAAAATGTTTATAACTATTATTATATTAATTTGATATTTATATTTATAGATTTATGTTCCTTTAATAGGAAGTCCAGTAAATACCCAAAATATCTGTAACAGAAGGGTAGCAAGTAGTCAATTTCATCCACTTTACTTCACAGCAAAGGTTTCAAATGAATAAGTAAAATAATGACCTAAGACTCCCTGGACATCAGCTCTATGCTCTTTATTAGCGACATCCTGTAGATACTTCTTAACATGGCTTTAAGTGCTAACGTGTTATTACTTTTGTGGAAGCTAATTAATGCTCTCTTGTAGTGGGTTCAGTGAACAATTTCAAATATTTGCAATTGTTATCTACATGGGATTTTCCTATTGCTTTTAAACTGTTAGTTGTGTGATGCTGATTTTAGAACAATATTGGTTTCTGCTCTTCAGTGTAAGTGAGCCTAGGGGTAACAAAACTTAGCAAATACATTGACCCAGTGAAATTGTTGATCTAAATTATGACATGATTTCCTAAATCACAGGAACAATTTCAGGAAGCATGGCTCTGGAATAAATGTGTCTACCACCTAAAAATAAAATGTTCACCTTTACCATAAAAATTAATGTTCTATTCCAAAAGGAATATGGAAAATGCTGAAAACAAGAAGAGGAAAACGCACCTCTGTGCATCTGCTCCCTAACTGGGCAAGCTGAAACATACAGCATGGTGTATAGGCATCTGGATTTAAAGTGATGAAATGAGCAGTTTGCATAACACTTGCAAATAGCTTTGCCTGTTATATAAAAATTCAAAATGGGTAGAAGATCTAAGTGTTAAAAAAGAAATATTGAACCTGATGAAAGATAAAATGCATAAAACTTTTGAAGACATAGGTGTAGGCAAGGACTTTCTGAACAAAAAATAATACCAAGAATAAACAAATGGAATCATATCAAATTGAAAAGCATCTACAAAATGAAGGAAACAATTAAAGAGTGAAGAGACAACCTACAGAATGGGAAAAAAAAATCTTGCCAGATATTCCTCATAGAGGTCTAAAGAACTTTTAAAAATTAGACTACCCAAAAGAAAGACCCAGTCGAAAACTGGGCAACTGAAATGGACACTTCTCAAAAGGCAGACAAATGGCCAATAATACATGAAAAATGTTCATCTCTGGCCACTTGAGAAATGCAAATTAAAACTATATTGAGATTTCATCTGTATCAGAAAGAATGGCCATCATCAAGAAATCAAATAATAACAAATGTTTGGGAGGCTGAAGGAAAAGGGAACCTTTTGACATTGTTGTTGGGGATGTAAACTATTACAACCACCAATAGAAATCAGTATGGAGGTTCTGGGAAAAAAAAAAAACAAACTATAACTAGAAATCCATTCAACTAAGGCATTCTCCTTCTAGGTATCTTCTCTAAAGAGTTAAGGACATCATGTTACAGTGATACATACATGCCTGTGTTTACAGGAAGGAAACAGTTAAACCTTGGAAGGGGCCTATCTGTCTAACAACAGATGAACAAATAAAGAATGCATTATTTATACGTAATAGAGTAGTACTACTGTGCCCTAAAGAAGGGTACATTTGAGTCATTTGTAGGAAAAGGGATGCACCTTGAGACCAGAATGTTAAGGGAAACAAATCAGATATCCAAGTTTAAATACCACAGGACAGTAGGATTTTAATCCTAAAGAACAAAATAAAAGATAATAGGAAATAAGGAGATAGAGTTTTGCAAATAGGAAAATGACCAGGAGATGGAGGAAGAGAAGACAGGGAATGGGGAAGGGATTAAAATGTGTTATGTGCACGTACCAACTCCCCATGAGGATGTGATCATTGTGTAAGAAGTGTGCACTAATAAAGATTTAAAAATTTAAAAGAAAGCTTCTCATACACGAAGCTTTTTCATTAGAGAAGGGAGTTTTTTAGTTAGAGAACCACACAACTCAGTCCTGAGGAGGTGCATTAGAAAAGAATCCTACACCACAGTCCAGTGCTGTACAGAGAACACCACTGTTAGTAAAAAGCTAGAAGTACACAGATCACAGCAGACCTAACAAAGAACTGTTTAATGTGCTAATAAAAACTATACTTTTTGTAGTTTTATTTTTGTAGCCGACTCCAACGGATGTGCAAAGAAACAGAATACGTAATTTTAAAAATTAAGCGCATTTTTGCATTATATTTAGTTGTTTGAAATATAATGATTACATGTATCTGAAAAACCGGAAGTGAGCTTGTTTCTTCCAAAACAAGGTGAACTTGGAAGAAATTCTTGTTCTCACTCTATACCTACAATGCTTATAGATTCCTTACTGCTAGTTATTGTTACTGTTATTTGGTTGTCCATCCCTCTTGCCCCCAAAAATGTCTTAAAAATAGCATAGTTTGAGAGAAAGAAGACTAGACAAGGGGATAGAAATCAACTGGGTACGTTAGAGACTGGGTTGTAAATTCTGGCTTTTCTGTTTATGCAGAGTAATTTAAGAATGACAGTTCCGGTTTTTGTATCCAACATTTTCTTTACAACTTAAAATTTTACTACAAATTCTTATCTCCAGAACTCAGCTTCCAGTGTTAGTTAATGAGGAGAATGCCTTTCCAGATCTATCACAGAAGAAATGCTGGCTTCATACAGAGAAAAGATCTTTTCAAACTGATTTTATGGAACAGCTTTCTCATATTAAAATCTAAGATGGAAAATGCTCCTTTACAGATTAAAAATTTAATTATTTCCTTTCCTTTCCCACAAATCTTAGGACTTTCATTAAGTAAAGAAACACTTTGGCTCAGATCATTTACTATATACTATGAGAATATTTTTGATGTTTCATTTTATACCTAAGGAGTAATTCTAGATGCATCAGACACTAATCATATTTTGAGAAAGCAGTTTGTATACTTCTGATTTCCACTTTGTTATACAGAAAGTTTATTCTTTAAACACCACTGCACCAGGCACTTGGATATTCCTTACTCTTTCAGCTTTCCCCCAAGTAAGTAGTAGTTTACAGAATTTCATTTAAGTTTCTCTGACTTTCCTCAGTAGCTTTCTTTCTAGCTCTCACGGTTCCAACTTTTGGAGGGGTGAGGAAGGTACATATAAACATGCATATACACCATTGCAGAACTACTAAGACATTAGTTATCAAAGAACAATCTAAATTTTCACTCATGAATGGTACCAACTGCCTGGAAGAATGTATACCACATAACAATAGATGCCAGAAAGAATGACTCCAGTCATCAGATGAAAAAAAACACTGATGACAATTTATTTTAGATGCTGTCAACAGGTAAGGTAGCTAAGAAAGCATAAAACAAAATTTTCCTGGCACTGTTTACTACTGCATTCAATACACTGTGCAAAAACTGCAGCCATCTGAAAACATGTGGAAACTTAGCAAAGTCTTAAATTAATTAGATATGCAAGAAACTTAACAGATGACAGTAGTCAAACCTAAAAAACAATATACTATGTAAACTGTTACAGGAATAGAAAAAATTTATAGACTAAAGTGTTTTCAGAGTACTACAAAGTAGAAATTAAATAGTAAGAATTTAATGTGGGTATTTTAATGTTGGTACCATGTTGAATCTTGTTTTGTTATGTAGTTATGATACCCCTCCTTAAGTTGAATATTTAATTTTAAGAAATAAAACAAAACCTGTCCAGTTCTTCTACTACCTTAAAGATCAATTTAAAGTTCTCACATCAAATCTACCCTGATAAACCCCAGAGAAAGTATTCCTTCTCTTGCCACCAGGATTTCAGAGCACCTCCCCATAAGCAGGGAAAGCCAGTGGTAGTTCTCCTAATGGTGGTTCAGCTAGTTCTTGCATTGCTAAGTTTATCATATAAAATATAAGTAACACATGAAAAAAATGAATCAATACATACATGAGATTACAATCTTGGGTAATGCTAAACTTTAAAGATTTTGGAGATGTGAAAAACAAGTATGTTAGAATTCTATGTTAGTTATTTCTGAATGAGAAACTATAGGAAGATTTTAACATTTAATTTAATATTTGAAATGCTCCAGACTAAGTTTCAGTGGGGGAAGGGATGTTCTAACCACACCAGTACATAACAACTCCTGAAATTACATACAGTAGTCTTCCTTATCTACAGAAAAAATGTTCCAAGACTTCCTGTGGAGCCTAAAACTGGAGTTAGTGCTGAACTCTACATACACCACGTTTTTTCCTATAGATACACATCTATGATAAAGTTTAACTTATCGATGAGGCACAGTAAGAGATTAACAATAATAACCAATAGTAAAATAGAGTAACTATGACAATATAATACAGTAGAAGTTATGCAAAACTTAGGTTGACTGCAGGTAACTAAAATAATAGAAAACTGTGGATAACAGTGGACTACTGTGCATAAGGCTAAATTATTGTCTAAAAAATCTAGACTGTTTTTTAAAGAAAAACTAAATTTCCAATAAAATAAAATGTGCTTCTTAAAAAGTGAACTGTTGTAAAGCATATTCTTGATTCAGAAGATACTTCAATGATAATTCCAACAAATTTTTCAAAGAAAATTCAGACAATATAAACTATGTTATATGATGCAAAATGATAGCTTTTAGGTACAGCTCCTGTTTTTGTGAAGATATACAAATGTCCTTTCATGGGATAATGCCATATTATAGTATTGCTGGGGAAAAAGCTACTTTCACTACCACAAATACTACATCAATATAAACAGCTCAGAAGAAGGTATAGGTATAACCTCCATACCCTGTTAGCTGAGATGAAGTGCATTTATATTTGAATACTAAAGCAACAGAGTTGCAATAAAAAATATCAAGTGGATTATCCTACTGTGAAGTTAGTTTCACTGTTTTATCCTAAGTGGGTTTTATGTACGTACACAGAAGTGCAAGTGAGCATAGCCTCAACAGTGTGTGTTTTACTCTCATTTTGAGGGTAGTGACATTGTTTGCTCACCCGGTCTTTGCATTATATAAATATTACAAAGAAGTTGTGAAAAGGAAAAAAACGTAAGAATCCAGAAACAGGAGAAACAGAAGGGAAAATGGACTGATGCAAACAGAACAGATAACACTTGATATCTGTCCCCTCTCCTCCCTTTCCCCAAGTTTAGTTTCTATCCGGGACCCCTGTGGTTCTTTTGATGAAAGTGACTCTGCCCTGGTTCAACAAAATGGCCATAGTGATTAGTTCAAGGGCAGGAATGCAATCAAAGCTAGTAAAAAGAATAAATTTCATTATTTTCCTTAGGAATCATGGTCAAAGTTGTTCATTCTCTCCTTAGATATAAATATGGGTGTTTATTATATTAGCTCAGTAAGGATGCATTTAGTCTTTTAGCTGGGAGACAATGCCCTAGAATGGTAATGCCTCTCTAAAGACAGAATGGTGGTAGGAAATTGGGCTTTTGGGCAATATTGCTGACATTATTAATGAGTCAAAGCAGTAAATGTCATTTAAATCCAGCCCTACCTCTGGCCTTTTCAGTTATAGAAGTCAATGAGTTCTCATCACTTAGACTTCTTTGAAATGCTGTGTTTAGTTACTGATGAGCCAAAGAATTCTAACAGATGCAAAGAAAATATCTATGGTGAGATGATGACTCGGGGTCACACTTGCTGTACAAAAGGTACATAGCTTTTTTAATCTAAGAAAATTCACTAAAATCAGCAATTCACACTCACAGAGTAGAAATAAAAAGTTTTCATAATAACTGGAAATTGTATCAAGGTTTAACAGGAGAATCGTAAAAAGGGTTCTTTTAGAGGTTCCTGAAGTAGAACTACTTACCCTGAAGTGTACTGTGTCTATACTCTATCCTGTGCTGGGGATTCTTCCTGAAAAAAAAATAGAAAAAAGTTTTTGCAAGTATTGACAAGTAATAAGACTATTTTAACTAACCTAGAACCTAAATAACCTACAAACAAGATTAGGCCCCACTAGGTCTCATAGTAAAAAGCACTTGCTTTTAATTGTGGTACTTACTGAGCGCCCACTCCATACCAAACATATTTTTAGATATAAAGTAGTGAGCAAAATAAAATTCAAACCTCAAGAAATTACACTCTAGAAAGACAAGGTGAGATAAAACATTATATATCATGTTTCTAAGATCCAACATAGTACATTTCTAAAATCTTATAACACAAAATAGGCAAATAGCATCTAACATATCACACAAATGCTAATTGTATGTGTGCATATATATATGTTAATATATTATGTATTAATACAATAATACAATACATATATTTCACATATACATTTTCGAGAAAGATACTTATAGGGCCATTCTTGAATCCAAGAAAAAGCCCAATTTAAATAATTTTTCAAAAGAACACCAATCACTGGTTATGAGAAAACAGGAAGCTCAATATTTTTGAAATTTCTAAAGTCAAACCAAAATTGTTTCAAGATCATTTGATATTATATGTACTTATTTTCATCCCATTATTTTACTGAACACGCTTGGGATATATGACTTTCTCCAGATAACATAAAACTCCCAGCAGCAAAAATCCAAAACAACTGCTTAATCCCCTCTCTAGGGGGAAAAAAACAAAGGATAACTATGGTATACTACCAATAAATACATGCTGAGATGTACAATTTTCTAATATGCCTGTCAGAAATAATTATATTTATACAATGAAGTTTCATTTGTTTATTCATTTAGCAAATATTGGCTGAATATTTTACTATGTTCTGGCTCTATGTTGGCATTGAGGCTGAAATATTTAAAATGATACATTACCTTTAAAGAGATAGTCTAGGGGCAGCAGCAGGACAGACATTAGGTAAGCACTTTTTAAACTGTAAAATAACAACTTTTTTGAAGATAAGAAATATTCCTTATGATAGTTTTTAATAAACAGGTACTGAATCGTGCCATAGGCCTTCTCCTTCTTGGGCTAAATAATCTTATTCTTCATTTTCTTTCATTTGGGCAAATAATAGGTTACATATAGATCCAAGTTTTTCTGTAAACCTTCCCATTTACTTTATATTTCCACACCTATTCCAATGGATAAAAATGGCCAAAGTTCGAGGAAGCAGACCTCTAACCTCTGACACAGAAAAAAATGGAGGTGGAAAGAGAAGTTCCAGTAAAAACCCTAGAATCTTTACAGCACTGTTGAAAAGCCCTTTCTGTAATATGAAAAAATTTCCCTCTCCATGCTGTCCAGTATAGCAGAAACTGACTATATATGGCCATTAAGCACTTGAAATACAGCCAATAGAACTGAGGACCTGAATTTTAAAATTAATTTAATTTTGGTTAACTAACAGTTAAATGTAAGCAGCCACATGTAGTTAGTATGGCTACCATATTGACCAATACATGTTTAATTCAACAAACAATAAAAGGAAATAGATCCTCCTTGCCTAGCCAAAATTAACTTAAAATTAAGATTAATTTAAAATTAGATTACCTTAACCCCCAAAAAAACATCCTCTTATAGGCTGACCTCCCCCAAAATTTTATAGGTAGAAATGTTATTACTGAAAGTAGAAGTATAGTGACTAAAATTGCATGAGGGTGATGTCTAAAATGAAAAGTATCCAGTGAGAGTCCTAACCCATCTATTGGCTGTCTAAACTTCAATTCCCCCATTTGTAAAAGGGGAGTAACAATGGAAGCTATACTCAGATGAAACTGCTGCGAAACTCCTTGAGCCAAAACATAGTACATCCTTGGTCTAAAGCCTTGGTAGGTGGTCAGTAACTAACATTTGCCATCAATTCATTCATCACTTTTTCAAAAATAGTCACAGAGTACTTATTTTGTATGTCAGGCCCTATGTCAGAGTCAGTGATATTCCTCATGGCTAATGCTATAACTTTTTAAAAATAACTTTTCCTACAATGTGAGCATTAAGCAGTGCATAAGTGAACTGCAGTTAATTAGGGTCATAACTCAACAATTTTGAGAAGTGGAAAAGAGATTCTACATCAGATTGTGTGGTTGGGGTAATTAACCCAAATCTGACCTTTTGATGGAAAAGAAACTTCAAACTTGAAAAAATAAAATGGACAACTTAGATGTGATGAAGAGAGCTACGAATAAACAAAGCTACATTGATGATTGCTAGGACGATCTTTCCTTACTAGACATGCTGGTACAAGTCACTGGTTTGTCAAATTCAGTCAGCAAAGTACAGTTAATGCTGGGCATCAGGGAAGAAGGAAAGAAAATGGAGGCCACTAATACCAAAGGATGGGAGGGGGAGATAGGTCAGCAGCACAGCGCCTGCCTGGCCAGCGCTAGGTCCTGAGTTTGATTCCTGATACTAAAAAACCAAACAATAACAACAAATAACCCCAAAGGATTCTTCAATCCTTTCTTCAAGCCTTTGAGGCTTTTTTGGTAATAGTTCATTTTGAAAAATAATTAAATCTACAAATATATGTACAAGAAAGAACACTAAAATTCCATATACTTTCATTGCGATTCTCCAAATATTAACATTCTACATGGATGCTACCTGTCTACCCATAGTCGTACGAGATTTAAAGGCCTTTTCTGCTTCCTTTTAACTATATTTTCTTGCTTCAGGTCCCACGTAGTCCTCATCTTTTCCTAGTTTGCCCTTAACAATTGAGCAGGATTGCTAATGGTTAAATATGGTCTTGTTTGCTACTAGACCTCCTGCAAATGCTCCGTTAGAATCTGGTGTCTGATGGCTTGTTGAGGGGGAACAGTTAATGTTTAAAAGTTTTTTTAAAATATTTTTACCAATTTTGTATGTTTGTATCTGGTAATCTGAGCAATTTATGTGATGACAACAATTTGCAGTGTAATATCCATTGATGAATTCCTACAATCCTGCTTAGTGACACTACATATTGTCTCTAATGTTCTTTTACATTATTATTTTCTTATTCCCTTTAATGATTTGATCAATCTTCTATTCTTACATCTGGTAATCTGAGCAACTTCATTGAAGATGACAATATGTAATATAACAACCCCTCTTAATCTCTATCATGTGGTTTGAAACCCTGTATCATTGTCAATGTCCTTGCTTTGTGTTGTCTATATTTTGCTACTGTTCTTTTTTTTGTACTATTTTCTTTAAAATAAAAAAAGGGGAAAAAAAAGAATCTTAAGTAACTAAATGTTGGTCTTTAAAAGAATTGAAGAGACTTAAGTAGTTTATAACCACATGCTTGTTAAAAGACTGCTGATCTCAGTTGTCAGGCTAGAAGGATGAAAAGGCACAATAATGTTAAAAAGGGAAAGTGAAGATGCAGTATCAGAAAACAGGATGCAGGTTCAACCTTAAAGTTTTAGGTGAGATTTTCCCATTTTATACTAACTTAAGACATAACCATAGCTATATTCACAAATTCTCATCTACATAGTCTAACCTCACATTCTACCTAGGAAAAGGCAAGCCATTTCAGAATAAATGAATGAATAAGAAAAAAGTATCATAGTTGCATATTCCAAAAAGGAAGATGATAAAATATATTATGAAATTTTATGTTCAAAAAAATGAAAGAAAATATCATCTCCATGTGTAGACTTTCATCTGCCTTCAGAGAAAAGTTTTTTCTTTGAGGCACTGATAATAGGTTCTACCCTCTCCCTGGAAAACCTACAATTTTCATTTAAGAAAGACAGGTGCCAAAGTGCAATGTAGACCAGAAGGAACTAGTTGAGTTGGTGCTTTTCTACACTTTACTAAGACAGTGAAATTCTAATTATAACAAAACAGCCATAAAAATTGTGCTAGTTTTTTCCTTGAAAATAAGGGGATATAGCCTCTATGACAGGTTCAAAAGTATCCTGGTTTGGGTATTTTAAAAATGATTTTATTCTTTTTATGATAAATACAACTCATAACCTTGACTATTAATAAGAAAATGAGGTCAAGCTATAAAGAGTATATCACATACAAAGGCACAAACTCGAAAGGCAAACAAATTTTAGGTATGTTTGGTTTATATAACAATTTAAATATTAAAAATAAGTATTCTGAATGCTAATTTTTAAAATTATCCTCACTTTCAAGGTCCTTCATAATTTCAGTTCCAATCTTGTGGCCCGATGTTTCATTTCCATTCTAGAGGAGGAGTTTTTGGTTCTCTCATTTTTGGCACGTGCTCGCACCCTGTTTACCAGGAATATTCTTCTAACTGCATTGCGTAGATTTAAATCATTCCTCTTCAGGAAAGCAACTTTCATAATCATGGGAAACAGATCCAGAATGAACTGTCTATATTTACCATTTGGTATTTATCACATGACTTCTAGTACTACCATCTGAATTTTCAGCATACACACAGACACATATACATTGTAGATTCTATATGTGAGATCATGAAGTATTTGTTTTTCTCTGATTGGCTTATTTTACTTAATATTATGTCCTCCAGGTTCATGCAGTTTATCAAAAATGACAGGATTTCTTCCTTTTTTAAGGCCAATTGGTATTGAAAAAAATATTTCAGTTGAGATCCCACCTTGGCTATTGTGAACAACACTGCAATGAACAGAAGAGTGCAAGCACGCCTTCCATACACTGATCTTATTTCCTTTAAATGGATACCAGTATCACGCTGTTGTAATCACTACAGCTATGCAACATACTTTGAAGGAGGTGTTAAGATACCTCCAGCTTTGTTCATTTTAAGATTGCTTTGACCATTTGGAGTCTCAGTGATTGTGTATAAATTTTAAGGTTTTTTCCTATTTCTTGAAGAATGCCATTGGAATTCTGATAGGTATTGCACTGAATACATGGATCACTCTGGGTAATATGGACATTTTAACAATATTCATTGTCCTGATCCATGAATACAAGAAAGTTTTTCATGTATTTATATCTCA